TAAGTCTTTTTCATACAAATATATAACTATTTTTTCCTTTGATAACAATAACATTTAAAGTTTACAATAAAGTGTTTATTATTTAAATTTTAAATTAACATACATATACAAAATGGGTCATTGTACATGGGACAGTGCTGTTGAAAGTAGCAAATAGTATTGACAATGACACCAATTTTATTATTTATGTAGCCAAAAATTCTAACAAAAGATGCTATAATAAATGGCACCGTTCGTTCCCACAAAGGATGAGGTCTTTAATTCAAATAATAGGGAATTTCTTTTACTTTTATTAATGAAAAATAGATATAAAGTTTACAACATTGTTGTTTACCAACAGTGCTTATACTATCAAAGGTGAGTACTAATACAACTGAGACAAATTGAGAATTTAATAACAAAAAACTTAACCAATCTTACAATTTGTGAGTCAACCTTACAATATGAGGGTTCTTACAATATTTACACGACTGCTAACAATAAAAACAATATTATCCAAAATTAAAATTGAATGGTATATTAGGCCAATACATTGGTTTCTCCCGATCGGAAATACTTATAAAATGTGATCGCATAGACATTTCTAGAGCTGATATTCTCTCCCAACCACATCCATATAACTTCTTTAACCTTTCTTGAGGATCTTCACCGTTTTCTATAGGCCCAGCCTCCATCTCTTCTATTTCTCTTTGTTCTTCATCATTCTGAGCTCTTAACCGCTCTCTCTCCCTCTTTGCATCATCTCTGAACTTCTTATTGTCTCTTAGAAACTGTATAAACTCTTCACTCACTTCTATTTCCCCGTCAGCGTCTTCTTCAACCTCATTTTCAGGTTCGAAATATTCCTCTTCTTCTTCCGAATTTGATCTAGAGTTATCTTCCGATTGTCCTTGATTCAAATAGTTTTTACGTATAATATCGTGCAGTAACTTATTCTCGTACTCTAAAGCCGTTGCACGGGACTTCCAGAAGGCTACTTGATGCTTCAATTGCCATGTAGCAGCACTTGTAAAGTTCTCAGCCCATGAAGACATCGTGGTTGGTATAGGATTGCGCGCGAGCCTCTTCTTTGCGAGCTGATCTTTTTTTATAGCTTTTAACCTGTTTTTACGCCTTAATTTCTTTTGTCGTCGAGAGGTAGTTTTTAAATTTTCACTAGAGCCTGGTTCTTCGTTGGGTGGTTGGAAAAACATTATTTTTGGCCCTAATTTGTATTCAGTCTTTCATTTTTGTCAATCTGACAGAACAACAATCCGTTCAAAATATGCCAATGTCAGTCAGTGTCTAGGGATCTTTAAAGATACGTTCATTTTAAAATAATGAATTATTGACAAACACGAAAATTATTATGATGCGATAAAAGGAAATGTATTTGAAATGTCTTTCTTGCTGCAGAAGTGCAGGCCGCATAACTCACCATGCTAGCATCAACGAAATCATTGAACCTAATGGTTTGGTACGTGATGACGGCAAGAGACCAGAATCTGGAATACCATCTGATGGTATGTTGTTGCTGCCTTGGAAGAATGCGTGGGACGCGTCGTGTGTAGACACTCTTGCACCTTCACACCTTCTAAGTACTGCTGCATGCTCTGGTGCGGCCGCTTCCGCGGCAGAGACCCTTAAACGGCGTAAATATTCAAATGTGATGGGTAACTATTGTTTTGAGCCATTTGGGGTTTAAACACTAGGCCATAAGGTCCCAAAGAACTCTCTGTCTGTGAAGAAATCACCCGAAGGCTGATCGACACTATTAAACTACCTACACGTGACCAGAGTGCTGGCTATTTCTTCGGTCAAAAAATAAGCATTTCCATTCAACGTGGCAATGCTGCCAATCTTCTGGGAAAGTTTCGTTTCAGTAATAGTGAAGCAGACGAGTACTTTGACGCCTTGTTTTATTATGGGTATTTTTTTTTATTATTCTTTTTATGTAAATTTGTATGTATGTAATTTCTAATACATAATGTAATATAATAATATCATTTCTTTCAACGTAACAGTCATGTTTTGTTGCACGTTCTTATATATAATATCAGTCCAACTTTTATTTAAATATCATAATTTATATTACTACATAAATATTTACAACTTAAAATTAACTACAACTAAACTATAAAATAAAAAGAAAGTAAAAGAAAACAACAAAAATTATACCCTTAATTTAAGTCCAACTTATAAAACAAAGAGAAATATTTGAACGCCGCAAAATGGTTAATGGATTCAATAATGTCAAATCCAAATGTCAAATATCTGTCAATCAATAATAAAGGCTTGTGGAGTGTGATGATAAAAAAAAAACTATAAAAACAATAATATTGTGAACAAGAAACTATATATTTGCGATGGATTATAAAAATCGGTGTCGAACATGTTTAGGCAGCGAGAAAGAAATGCGCCATATACATACTTGTGTGAGAATAGCTGGCGAAGAAGTACATCTTTCAGATATTCTGCAGAATTTTTATAATTACAAGGTAATAGTGCAAGCGTTACAGTACTCAGACTAATGAAAAGGCAAAATTATTATTAAGAATTAATTAATACAATACTTAATTACATTTTTCGTCAAATATCTGCAGTTACTTCTATTTTCTTCTCCAGGTGGCACCAGACCCATTGTTTCCAGAAAACATCTGCATCAACTGCGTCCATCAACTCACCATCACTTACTCCTTCAAAGTCTTGATAGATTCTAGTTCCAAGACCTTGATGGACAACCTCACCCTCCTTGATTCCACCAGCGACAACTACGACTGCGCCTACGAATCCGATGACCAAAAACCAGACTGCCATATAAACATTAAAAAAAGAAAAGTAAAAAAGATAGAACAAAATATTGATGAAATCCGATTATTATTTTGTGTCGAGTGCAAGGCTGAATTCCATTCAGTTAAACTACTGAATGAGCACTGCCTAAACAATCACCCCACAAAGTCTGAGGTTGGGAGGGACTGTGACTACTGCAATGAGAAGTTTGAGGATTTCCGTTCCCTAGTCTTGCATAGAAAGTTGCATCTAAAACCATATTTATGTGAGAACTGTTGGGAAGGATTCTACAATGAAGACGAGCTGAACACACATTCCTGTCAACCTAATGTAGAAAATAAGGAGAAGAACAAGTCTGAAAGGGTTTTACGTCAGTGTGATCAATGTGGGAAGTCCTATCCTCCCGGTTACATTAGAATCCACATGTTGACACACAGCAATGATCGCCCCTACAGCTGTAAATTTTGTCCAAAGAAATTTAAAGTCCCTGGCGGACTTCACTCTCATATTCTATGGAACCATAAAAGGACGAGAAACCATAAATGTGAAGTATGCAATGCTACATTCATATCGTCAAGTTCAAGAAGTTCTCATATCAGGAAAAATCATTTGAAAGAAAAGAAGTATGGGTGTGACAGTTGTGGGAAGCGGTTCTTCTCAAAGTCAGAGCTTCAGAGGCACTCTCTAACCCACACTGGTGTAAAGAACTTCCATTGCCATCTGTGTGACAAATCTTACCAAACCAGATACGGACTGAATGTCCACCTGAAATCACATTCGCCAATAAACATGAATGTATTGAATTTGTGAAACAAAGTACAAAAGTTAATTTTGATCTCATTTCTTTAGGATTAGTATTTATTTGTAATTTATTTATTTGCATTGAAATTGAAAATCCAATTATTATTGTATGGATAATAATTAATATAATTTCTGATGAATGATGCTGGCTTTTATTTCGCTATATCAATAAGGAAACTCATGTCGAAAACTATAAATATATTCATTGCATTGCACAATAGCTTGAGCACTATGGCAGGTCCAGAATTAATTCTTTGCAAACCAAGAACTAGGTAGTCTAGAGAAACAAACTAAAACCATACTAATTTATGCTAGATTCATTATTTATTTTAGGTATCAAATAACAAATTTCAACTGTGCAGGTACATACAGAAACTTTAATAAAAAATAATATTTAAAGAATATAATTTTAATCACAAACATTCTGAAATCATATTCGAAATAATTGATATTATAGTAAAGAAACAAAATGGCGAACTTAGCAATTACATTTAACTTACAATACAATTTGTTTTATAACAAAATTAATCACTAATTTATTTTTAAAATAATTATTGTATAGGATAGAAGATTGTCATAGATCGACAGCAATATTCGTAATTTTGACTCCTATTCAAGGACAAAGCACCGAGCGTAAGGCATTGCTTATATTTGAGCGAGCAATTATATATGTGGCGAAGAGCTTATATCAACTTAAAATTACGCGCCCTACTTCCAAGTTGCTTATTGATGGTACATGGTGATGGAGTAAAGCGTGCAGACCTAGCGAGAGTGGGGGCGTCATTTCAAGTTTGAACTTGGATGAGCTCTAAAACATTTTAATTGACTTTCTATTGCTTGGCAATAAGACTATGTCTTGTAAAGCTAATAGCAACAACTACATGTATTCTGAGATATGTTTTTAATATGCAATACAATAAAGGATATCTGAATTTGCCTACACACATTTCGACATTGTTTGATAAAAATCTTCATCTTCTCCAATTATTTTTCTAATCTACAATCACATTATTTATTATATTTACACAATGTAGGAACATACTAATAATACCAGGAACAATGGCACATATTTCAAATGTATGTACAATCATTTTGGTGGGTTAATACTTTTCATATAGGAGTATTTTTAATAATCTAGAATGAGTAGACGCTTGGCTAATGAACTAAGAACATAATTTTCAAGAGTGTACTATACTTAAAATACAGTGTACATTTTGTCAAGTAAATGAGTTTCGTGAAATTAAAAAAATGACATAGTTTCTGTTTCTTTACTATTTTTCTGTATTTTAATTAATGCAATATAGTCATAAAGAGACAAAATCGAACAGGAGTCAAAACTTACGTGTATAAAGCGTGTATTTATAAAAATATAAAAAATATCACTCTGTATCCAGTCTGTTTACCGACAATGCAATATGTACATTCTGTCTTTACGCGAGCAACGCCCATACAGTTTTCGTTACAATACATATTTGTAATCCGTTATATTCGAGTGTATCCTGAAATAGAAAAATATACAATTTAATATTTCTATCATTTTTTTGCGCTGGCAGTACTAAGTATGCATGATGGTGTTGCTACATGCAAATGTTTTTTTACTGATTATCAGTTAGGTACAGATTTATTTACAAATCAACAACCAAGTATTTAAAATACAAGGCAATGTGCGAAATTGAACCTCAAACCTTTGTTAATATTTAGTGCAAGCCTATACATGTTAAATTATCTACTAAAAAAAAATATAAAATCCAGTGCATAGCAACCAGGTGCAGTTAGTAACAAGAAAACTTTAGTATTATTTAATAAAGAACAAGTTTTTTGGGTTACGGAAGATTTTATCAGATTTCAAGCCCAAATACCATGTTTAGTTTGTTTTTTTTAAACTAATTCCATAATACCTATTTTATATTGTATCTGGTTTTGAATGCAAACGCAGCATAAGCATTTGACCTATGGTACATGACCTCAAAAGTTTTAAGTATTGTTGTATTTTTTCTCTCCGTTTTCTGGATTTTTCCAACTATGTTGTAGTCAGCACCGAGCCATAACCAGCTTCGGCTGATTGTTCATAGTGTCAGTAAATACTTTACATTGGGTTGATTTTGTGTTTTTGTTGAGCATAATGCCTCGTGATTAACTTTATAGTGTAATTGTGAAGTTATATACAAATCTTTATAATATTTTGGACTTTTGGGTGATCTTCTTGAAGTTAGTCGTCATTTATATAAGTTGTTCAATATTGCTTATAACATTTTATTAAATACTAGATATTGCCGGCAGCTTCGTCCACGTACAATATGAGTTTTAGGACTTAACTTTTTTATGTTTAAATTTTCCAAAATAAAAGTAGCCTCATAGACTTCTTAGTACATTAGCTACCTGCCAATAAAAATCCTGTCAAAATCGGTCCAGCGATTCCAGAGATTAACCAGTACAAACACACAAACAGACAAGAATTCTAAAAAATGGTATTTTGGTATGTGTATCGTATGTATATTCATATGTATGTTAGCAAGCGGTTATTTAAATATTACACACTTAAATTTTATTTATCTGTATAGATAGATATAGATATTGTACAGTGTACTGTGTAGGTACTCAACAGAATATTAATTTGTACTATTTTTCTATTCAATAAATTAAGTTTAGTGCAAAAAATAACCATCGATTGATTCTTATACATTATGTGCACTTATGTGTACTTACTGAAAATTTTAAAAAGTGCCAATTAAATTTTTAAACTTTCAAAATGCACATTTACAATCTTCGTTAAAAATTACAATGATTTTCAATCTGTACAATCTTAGTAATTCGTGCGTGATTCACGAAACTCCCTTATAACTACACTTAATCACTACATAGTATAAAACAAAGTCGCTACCCGCCGTCTGTCTGTCCCTATGTATGCTTAGATCTTTAAAACTACGCAACGGATTTTGATACGGTTTTCTTTAATAGATAGAGTGATTCTTAAGGAAAGTTTATATGTATAATACATGCATATTGCACCCGTGCAAAGCCGGGGCGGGTCGCTAGTAAAATAGAAATTAGAAAAGAAAGTTCTAAACTAAATTATTAATCAAGATTTTAGGAAAGTAATACCGTAATAAGTTGTGTTAGAGTACAGTTTTGTTTGTGACATATAGTATGTATATTTTATGTAGTAGAAAGTATAGCTAAATGAATGTTAGCAAGCCATATGTAAGATTTTTGGTACTATTGGGTTGGGTCGCTCAATATTAATTTAAAGGAAATATTTAATTATTATTGTTTCGTATTTTTCAGGAATCGTGGCGGCCCGGAGATTTAAACTGTCAAACACCGCGAGGACACCGGTGACCGCAACCTATTGTTCTTTAATTGTGTCTATAATGACGGTACACAAAGAGTTAAGACGCATGAATGACAGTTCGGGTTCGAAACCTACCAACAGGAAGTACCAATGTGACTATTTCCGAGTCATATGTACTTTCTAAGATTATCTAAAGACCACTGACAAACGGTGAATGGAAACATCGTGAGGAAATCTAAGCTTATAATTTCTAATTATAAGTCTGAAATCGCTAACCCGCAATGAGCAAGCGTGACGATTAATGCTCAAACCTTCTCCGTGTGAGAAGAGGCCTTTGGTCAGCAGTGGGTACTTATAGGCTGTTAATATTATTGATGTATTCTTCAAAAAGGTTCGTTAGATTTTTATAGCTTAAGTTCTAAATAATGTATTATTTACTTATATTTAGTTTCTCGTTGTTCGTTTCATTCAACGAAACCTGCAGAATTTTCTTTATTACATACTAGCTTTTACCCGCGGCTTCGCTCGCGTCACAAAAGAATAAAAAGTAGCCTATGTGACATATACCAATACACACAGCGCCATCTATACCAATGCTTTTGTTTTTCCTCGGGAATATCAATTTTCCGGGTTAAAAAGTAGCCTATTATTTAATCCGGACTTCTAACTTTACGTCTGCAAAAATTCAAAGCAATCGGTTGAGTAGTTACGGCGTGAAGGAACAAACAAACAAACTCACTTTCAGATTTATAATATTAGTAAGGATAATTTGTACATATGTACAATATTTACATGATATTGTATTCTAATATAAATATTTCTTATTTATGTACAGCTAATTGTCGATTTAAAGTTATATTGGATAGGTTTTATTTTTTGCTGGGGCAAAAGCGCTAATATTTCTATTTTATATTGATATGAGGAGCAAAGTAAGTATTGAAGCACGATTCCGAGAATTTAACAACAAACAAATTGTATTGAATAGATTTTAATTTAAGGACCGATTGTTAAAGGCACATAGATATGTATTCGACTTTAGAATATTTCGTACATAACAGTGACAATAATGTTCTAACCATATATCAATATACAAGGTGTAGTTTTGAAGCCGTGTCATTTCTCGGGGCACGTCACAGAAGTCATAAAGGTTCAATATAAGAGAGTATTTCGGGCCAATAGTTAAAAATACGGCTATAATAAATCGTTTAAGTTCGACAGTATTTCAGAATAAGCGACAGCAATATTTCTTATTGGAGTTTTATGGTATTAGGAATAATATCAATTACGTGTTTGAGTTTGTGTGTGTTGAGCCGCATTATAAAGCTATACTCGGAATTTTAATTCGATTCCAGATTTGACAATTTCAGTGTTGCAACGTTATGACAAGTACTAAATAGTGACGTTGCGAAATTATTCGATATGGAAATGCAATATTTCTGGATCGATTGTTCTCGTTTATAATTTTACTCTTGTGAACTAAGTATATCAGGAAATTAAGTATTTCTGAACCGATAATTTAGTTTTGACGATTAATTAACGATCTGAGACTTTTCTTTTATAATTGTGTGTGAAATAAATAAAAAAATGTAATCATGAAGGAACATGACAAATAAAACAGATAGATGTATCATGGTAATACGTTATTTTATAAATTGTCGCCGTCACCGCTATCGCTATCCTGGCACTTTCTGTAACATTTATTATAAAACACACACACCGATTGTTTATCGATTTTTGTGTGCATCACTACACTATTATATGTGGTATCATTATTTCACAAAATGACAGTAGCTATTGTCAAATCTGGAATCTAATTATAATTCTGACTATAGTTACAAGACGGCGGCGTGTACTTCGCACTTACGGATTTCCGTAATTTCAGAAAAATATTAACCTACAATTTTTTTATTGATTCAGACTAAGAATCGATAGCCGAGTTACCTCCTAGAAAATGAAGAGGCTTTGAAACAACACCTTATATAATCAAAGTACAAGTAAACTTTATAGATACAAAAACATTTTAGAACACTCGAAGTTTGGTTTCAATAAAAGAAGGGGCAGAAGCGTTACTAACTCCAAAGCGGGATAATAATTTAAACAGATTATAGCATATCTACATGCCAAAAAGCAGCTGTCCAGAGCGACCCAACCGTTATAAAACTACAATAAATATACATAAAAGACAGATAATCACCGCCGTGCCTAAAAACTCATGTCTAAGCCTATTTGATACATAACTTCGTCCATATCCTGACCGAACATGCCCGTCCTTTGGTCCTCTTTCGTACCATTTGTTTCACTCTTCGATGTCGTGGGTGCGTCAGACCCAGAGTGCGTTGATGTGGAGGTGCTCATAGGTGGCAGACCGAGGATGATCCGGATTTGGTCTGTGAGATGCGGCGCTGACATTATTTGGTGGTATATTCCTTCAGCAGTGCTCAATATTTTGTCGACGTCCAAACACATTGATAGGTCGTTTACGTGCTGTGGGAAGATATTTTTATATTTAGATTTATTTTTGTTTATTGGGACACTAGGCTTAGGCACTATATTCTTGTAAGCTAAAATCTACATTTAGTCCGTTACAGCGACCAATAAAAAAGTAAAAACTATGAAGTCTGATGCATCCCAGCGACATAAACATAACTGGCTTGGATTTCAAGTTCGAAATATGGTAGTTTCCTAAATTTAATTTTAATGTCCGTCTGGTAGATTAATTTAAAACTTTAGACACGTATGTTTTATTTTCTCACCAAATTGAATACTTTCGACGATATATTAATTTGAAATATCGTGTAACACTCCTTAACTTAGCGCCATTTTATTTAAGTATTGCAACTTAATACGAGAAAATAAAATACATGTCTAATATTTTTTCATTATCTAACTGACGGACTAATTAGATTTTTAATTTTGATACCCTGGAAACTACCCAATTGTCTTACTACATCATTGTAAAGTCTAAACTATAAAATAAAAGGTTAGGTATAGAGGTAGATGTTTCACCCCCCGAGTGCGGGTGCGCCATACTCGTGTGGGTAAATGTACGGCACATTGCCAGCGTCGCGTCCGCTGCGAGGTACACACACACACACACACACACACACACACACACACACACACACACACACGCGCGCGTGTCTACGCACTACTTCTACAACTATGGCTGACCTGCGCTGGTGAGATAAAAGAACTATATTTTAACAATAGATCCTTACCTTCAATATCTCAGTAAATCCATAATCTTTACTGATTAGAATATCTTTTTCCGCGTCAAGTATGGCAACACATATTAACAAATGAAAGTTTGCGCATGGCAACGACGTCCATAATACTTCCCATAGCCTGGAAACAAAACATTTTATTAAAACTATAGATCGGTTAGTGGTAGGTAGGGCTTTGGCAGATTTTTTGACGTTTACCAGTGAAAAACTCCGTTAAGTAAATAATAGTGTGTACAATATTCTTTATTTGTGTATAAAAATATGAAACTTCTGCATTTTACCATATAAACAATAAAAACGAACCAATCGTTCAAAGACTACCACGTTCTTTATAGCCTAAATAATATGGAAATCGCAATCGTACGAAAACAGAGTCGTTAGTTTTATTTTTTTTAAGAAGTCCTTGCCCTACACATAAATTTTCTCCTGTGAAAATCACCAACGGGGACGGGAAAAAATGGGATGGTACGCATACGAAGTCGCGGGCAGAAGCTAGTATTACATAAAACGAAGGTGAAACGAAGTTCGCCGGGGTTTGCTAGTAATTAGTATAATAAAAAGTACGTACCTCATGATATCTCGATGTGAAAATTCTCGTTTGAACCATACGAGGAGCCATCGGAAACAGAAGTACATGTTTCCAGAATCTTTCTGCGCTAAGTGGTTGGCAAGCTCGGGGCTCGCGAATGTTAACAGTTGTTGTAATTGTAGGAGTTGGTGCTTCATGCCAGCCTGGTCCATGTCGAAGTTTGAAGCCTTTTGGAATAACATAAGGTTGATTTTAGAATTAAGAAATATCAGAACATAGTACCTCCTCCTTTTTGAAGTCGGTTTAGAGAAGAAATGGCAGATAAAGTAATAGAACAGTCAGTTATCTTTAATGTCCTTTATTGTTAACAATAGCAATGTAATAAATATTCAATGATCTTTGATTGATATCATTTTGATTTTGGTGTTCATCAATTAAGACTCTAATTTGCTTATAAGGACAAGAATTCAGACTTTTTGAGTCTGGTAACACCCACACATTAATACCCAACGTCACCATCTTTATGCCCTTTATTTTATAAGACAGAATTTCAAATTCAAAAAATCCAATCACATTTTGTTGATAACCCATAGAGCAATGCCCTTACTCTCATGGTCAGCTATTTCTATTTAAAACATGAACAAACAAGATTACGTACTTAACTAATTTTATTTACTCACGTGAATATACTGAGAAAAGATCTACTAGTTTCGAGTCACAGTGGAACTCTTCCTCATTAGCAGCGTTCGCGGTAGCGGCGATGTCGCGCCGCCTATTCATTTGATATTCTCAGTATATTTACGTTACTCGTAATTTTTAGTATATCTCACGATAGTTATTATAAAAATAAGAATATAACATAACATTACGCCTTTTTATTCCCGGAGGGTAGGCAGAGATGCACATTAGGGCACTTAATGCCACTGTACAATGTAACACCCACTTTTCACTATTTGTGTTAGAGTCCCATGTAATAGGGGGTGAGCCTATTGCCATATACCGGGCACAATTCCAGACTCCGTGCTACTACTGACATTTTTTTTTAATCCCGAGATCCCTTGCCAGGCAGTCGCACTCGCGACCACTCGGCCAATGAGGCAGTCTTTATTATAAAAACAAGAATAAGTATATACTTACAATTTTATCCATGAATCCTACAAAGCACCAGAAACTATCCACTTCGTTGCCTATTAGCAACAACAAAGGCGCTAATATATCGGACATGCCTTGCACATATCCGAGGTCGAAGTTATACATGACATAGGTCAGTAGTATATCTTGCAGGATGACCAAGTTAGGATTGTTGTCTCCAGCGAAGAATGGATGTGTTCTGTCAGTTCGATTGACGTCTTTTTCCACTAAGCTCTTTCTGTCTCTGTATTCTGAAAACCTGGAGGCGATGGAAAGGATTTTTAAAAATGTCTTGTTTTTATATCACACTAATATTATGGTTGTGAAGGTTTATTTGTTTGGATGTTTTGATGTTTGTCCGTCAATCACACTGAAACTACTGAATGGATTTTGATGAAATTTGGTATACAGGCAGGGTATGGACTGACTTAGATGATGTTTTTTATGGGATAAGCCGGTAAACATGCAGACGGATCACCTGATGGTAAGCAGTCGGCGTCGCCCATGGACACCCGAAAAACCAGAGAGGTTACAAGTGCGTTACCGGCCTTTTGGGAATTAGGAATTTGAGGATTTTGGGGGATTCGGGGATTGGGGAGACTGGGGAAGGGGGTTTTTGGGCCTCTGATAACCTCACTCACACGACGAAACACAACGCAAGCGTTGTTTTACGTCTGTTTTCTGCTCGGCCGTGGTATCACTCCGGTCGAGCCGGCCAATTCATGCCGAAGCATGGCTCTCCCACACTTAATAATAGGACTTTTTATTCCGATTAAATGCTCCCATGGGGATAAAACAAAAGTAAAACCGCTGGTAAAAGTACTGACCTGGCTTCTTGCCCCTCAGTCATAGATCTCCATTGCAGTTTCATTGCGAAGTACTCTTCTGTTTTCTTCTTAGTCAATGTTTTTAATTCTGCACTCGTCATGTGCCACGGGTGGTAATCTAGGAGGTATTTCCATACGCACTGCCTTATCGAGTGGGCTACACCCTGTAACAAAGAATATTATCATATTATTTAGAAATGTCCTAATAATAAGTAAGACTGTCTCATTGGCCGAGTAAGGGTTCCGGGCAAGGGTTCCCGGGTCGGGCAAAGTATTACTGGGTTTTTCAAAACATTCACAGTAGTAGCACGGAGTCTGGAATTGTGCCCGATATATGGCAATAGGCTTACCCCCTATTACATGGGACTCATAATATAAATAGTGAAAAGTGGGTGTTACATTGTACAGTGGCATAATGTACACCTCTGCCTACCCCTTCGGGGATAAAAGGCGTGATGTTATGATGATGAATAAGTAAGTATAAGTATCAACGCCTATATAACATTTAAATATAAGTACATTTAATTGTAATGTCTAGCGACTCGACCCCGCAGTCAAACCATTGCAACGGTTTTGTGGGGCTTAGATCACCTGTGTGATATAAAGATAAATAAATAAATAAATAATAATAAAATAAATATTGTACAGTTACTGAAGCATTACACAAAGTAGTAAGTAGTTCACCGCTGATCTCGTGACCATAAAGTCGTCAGTATTCTCTTTTTTTTATGGATAAATGTTAAGTTTATTTAAGTTTGTGTATGCTCTCTTTTTCATTTTGATTTGTCTTGTTTAAATTAGTAATTAGGTACATATATTTAGTTTTAGACCTAAGCTATCGCAATGGAGAAAACTGTAATGATAGTTTTAGGTAAGGTTTTAAATAAATAAATAAATAAAAACAATATTTGTGCTATGATTGGGCGGTAATAAAGTGAGAATATTGTATTAAATTCTCTTGTCTGTCGTTTCGCTCTTGGCTGAGCGGTCGTGGTCACGTTGAGGCGGCCGTATTTGTGTTGGAGGCTAATACTGCCTTCCTCACGATCTCCCGCCATCTCTCCCTGTTTGTGGATTGTCTGGCGGAGTCTGACACTGGGTTTCTGAGTATCTTGTTGCCGATTTGACTTGATCAGTCCAGCGCATAGGTCATCTCGTGGTCTGATTCCCTCTACTTTCCCCTGATTGTATTACTACCTAAGTAACGCGTCGCCTAGGATATTGACTACGTATGAGATATAAGGAAACCAATGGCTGATGATCCTTAGTAGTAGATATGAGGAAACTAAAGAAAACTCTTCGTGTGAATAGGTTGAATAGAAATATAATATAGATATAAATCCCTTTAAAGTGTATTTCTAGGCAAATGCCCGGCGGTGCCATGATGATAAAACCTGGTAAGCTCCCATTTTTTCATCAAAATAATTATGTCTCAAAATTTCTTTTCATATTGAACTCTATAAAACCTGTTATTTTTTATGGGATAAGCCGGTAAACTAGCCCAGTAGGTATTCGCATTCGTCATGCGGACACACAAAACACCAAAGGCGTTACAAGTGCGTTACCGGCCTTTTGTGGATTAGGAATTTAGGAATTGTTGGGGATTCAGGGATTGGGCGATTGAGAAGGGGACGTATAAAGGATATGATATCTTATATATAAAATAAATAAATATGATTCTTCTCTATAGGAATCTACACCTTGGAATGAGGAACGAGCTTCACTTTAAATGTTTTTGTAGACGTTCTAAAGTGCCTTTCTGATCCAATTGATATAAATGATTTTAACTTTTTATACTCACTCCTCTAAATATAAGTTGTTTCACTCCTTCCACTTCCGTGATCCTGCCCTCTGTATCTTGTAATGCCCACCACTTTTCTGGGGACAGTGGTGTTCCTCTGAAAATAATACATATTTTATTTACAGATTTTTGCAGACGTAAAGTTAGAAGTCCGGATTAAATAATAAGATACTTTTATCCCGGAAAAATTGATATTCCCGAGGGAAAACAAAAGTATTGGTATAGGTGGCGCTGTGTGTATTGGTATATGTCACATAGGCTACTTTTTATCCTTTTGTGACGCGAGCGAAGCCGCGGGTAAAAGCTAGTTCCATATAATTTGATTTTCTATTCTACAAGTCTAAATGTCGAGCGAATCCGGCCGACGTCGCCTGACATATACGGTGACAACGCGCAACTTATGTCCACAGCGACGTTGATGTTGCCAGACATGTCGACCAAAGTCCTGCAACGTCGCGCAACTTCACCCGAGATCGCGGGCGACACGTGTCGCAGGACATTTGTACCTAGTGTATCCTTGGCCTTATCACTAAAATAGAAACTTAAATAGGTATAGGTAAATTTATAACAAACATTACGTCACGTCCTATATGATAAATTAAAAAGATAAGTGAGAATTGAACTAAAGCTTCTTTATAATTCCTTATCTGTTCACGTGCAGTACTATCAATTTCTATTCTAGTAATAATGACCTAATGCTGATAACCTTCATTTCCATAATTATATTAAGTGAAATCGACCAAACTTATAGTTAGGGGATTTTTTTTTTTAAGGGGAGAAAATCATCGAATGACTGCTCCCGCCCGGGTGAGGCGAAAGGGAGTGTCAGACTCTTACTGACTAAAAACCACCCCGTTCCTTCTCATGCACGTCGAGCCGGAGCCCCGATTACCCGTTAGGTTCTCCGCGACACAGTTATGGGATAAGCCGGTAAACGAGCTGACGGATCACCTGGTGGTAAGCAATCAGAGGCGCCCATGGACACTCGGAACACCAGAGGCGTTACAATTGCGTTACCGGCCTTTTGGGGATTAGGAATTTGAGGATTGTTGAGGATTGGGGCGATTGGGGAAGTGGGTAATTGAGCCTCCGGTAACCTCACTTAGACGACGAAACAAACGCTAGTGTTGTGTCAGAAAGTGGATATGAACAGGGACGACAGGACTGCTCCGTTGGAAACAAAAAGAAATACTGTCTAGTTTCTACTTTATTTATTAACTAGCTGTGCCCGCGACTTTGTTCGCGTGGAATAGTGATTATGAGCAGCGTTTTTTTTTTAAATATATACTTATTTTTATTTTGGATCATAATCACAGTCATTTTGTATGTATAAACAAAGAATAGTGTTCGAAGTAATTCTTTAATTTGACATAACTTTTTTATTTATGAACCGATTGACATGAAACAAACACTAAAGCATAACTGAAGCATACCACAAAATATTCGTGAAAACCGCATCCAACTCGGATCAGCCGTTTCTGAGATTAGCGTGAACAGACAAACAGACAAACAGACAAAAAAAAAGTTAATTACATTTTTGGGTTCGACATCGACATAACAATAACCCCTGCAATTTTTTTTATTTTTATTTTCAATGTACAGACAGCACTTTTCTACAATTTTTATATGTATAGATAGATAGATATAGATATAGATATGCTTTCAGCTTACTCACGTAACTGTTTGACGAGGAACTCGACGAGTTTCAAGCCATGCTATGGTCATTTTGTATGTCTTACGAAAGTTATAATATAATACCTTCTACCTCTTAGGAAAAAAAAGAATTCTTACCTAGGTATAGAGGGGCGAGGCGGTAGTGTTGGTTTGACACTGATAACTTCGTACTCGTCACTCTTGGTCACAGTCGTAGCCTCCTCCATAGCATTCATACTTTTCGTCAACAAGTCCACCACTTCTTCTGATACATCTCTCTTGCCGTTCACGCCTTCGTTGCCGTAGTACACTGCAAACAAAAATTGATTTAAGACATTTTTTGTTTAGTGTTAAATGAAGAGTAATTTATTCAAAGTATTAGACATTCATATAGAGTTTCAAGATTCACAGTTAGTGGTATTTGAAGTCTAATCTTAAACTTATTGGTTTAACACTAAATACTTCTTAATTCGTATTTAAGAAAGCATACAAAGCTTACAGCCTACCAAATGGGACTATCGGATGCAAAATAAAAAGGTGCTGATGCTTTCAAAGACCGCTACGTTTATATAAACTCTCAATTACTTTCTACAACAATAACAATAGCTAATAAATCCTTACCAATGTCAGTGAGTTTGGAAAATGCCTCCATAGTGGTCTCATAAGGCCTCTGTTTGAAGTTCGATACCAAATTCCACACAACGTCTGTTGTATTCTCCGTGAATATATCCAGTTCAGCAAAGGACTTATTCAGTACTTGGGACTCTATATTCGGTTCTACAACGACGTATGTGTTTCTATCATGGCGCGTCTTCGCAGTTTTCACATGGTTCTTTAGATACGCGACGAAGATTTCCGCATTGCCATGTTGAAAGTAAAAAGTCGTTTGCCACACTCCTGGCTTTGTGGAAAACTGCATTTGTTGGTTATTTCTCGTAACCCTGAAGGTCTTAAGTTCCTCGATGGGTATTTTGATGATGCGAGCCCTGGCGGTTGCGTAGTCTGATGTTATATTCCCGCTTAATGTGCGCTGACGACGACCTAGACCGAATGCTTGGTTTAAAAATTATGCAAATATTTAATTTAAGTATTTAAGTACTTGTTTAATACTTTATTGCTTCGGTGATCGACTGGTTATAGCCCACAGAATCTCCGAAAAGAATTCCAATATGTTTGAAGATTTTCGTAATTGATAAAAACAATTATACTTTTCCAAACAGTAACACGAGCTTACAACCAATCGACCAACGAAGCAGTCATATTCAAATAGTTCATGCAAAAATGAAAAAAGCAATGAGAATACCAGGATAGCAGACAGTCAATTCTTGCTGAACCATTCTAAATACCCAACAGTTCCATGAACTAGCGTATGCAACATAACAGGGACGTCACACAGCTGAAGGTGACGAGCATAAACTACTATTTAAAAAGACTACCTTTAGCAAAAGACATTGTAATACCAATAGTATTGACGACCGCCCATTCATGGTCTTGTGTGTCAGAATCGATGGTGATCAGGTCGTTTGGTCGCCACTCGATGGTTTTGCTGTTGTCTTGGTTCTGCACGATGCAGAGCATCCCGATGGAGTTGAGGTCTGTGACCGGTCTACCGAGGCACGCTTTGAGAAGAACCCCATCCTGCGTGAACAGGTCCTGTGAAGGTGGTTGGATATTTTGTTAATAGGTACTTCTTGAAGGTAAGTAGAGTGAAATTATATCTGTAAACTGGTACACCCACTTTTCGGCTATATTTCCTACTAGATTCTGTCAGCAACTTCGCCTGCTTCCAGAAAATAATCGACTCTTATTCCAAAATCCATTTCGGAATAACAAAAAAAACATAAAAACTTTCGCATTTGTTCCTGTTGTAATATCATCCCCTAAATCTGTTCATACAAAAGTAGTCTCTAAACATCAGAAATAAGGTCTATAATGTAGTTAATGGAGAGTGGTCACCGGTGACCGCTTGGGGATAAATGGGTAGTAAGATAAAAGTCGAAAAATAAGTATATTAACATTATAATTATCTACAGTTAGATATTTTCTAAGCACAGTCTGCCTTAACGGTTGAAGTGGGAGGAGCTGGTCTAAATGAATAACAGGACTATTGCGGTTCACACTGCCCTTTATTCTGATTATGTTCTAACTAATACAATAATGTATAAAATAATATAATTGTATCATATAGGTATATAAGTGATACAAATTTTAATAATAATAAGTTTATAGTGAGTAATTAAGTTAATAATGAATAGAATAAGTACATAATATATTAGATGATTATTTATAAGTTAAATTGCTGCGCCCTAACAGGGTGATGTACTGTACTAGTAGTATAATACCGCTATGTTATACATTTTGCAATAAATAAATAAAATAATAGGTATAAACCCCACTTCAAGATACTATAAGTATATATTTTTTAAATACCTACCTACGATCAAAATATATCAATTTGTGACTTTGTTGTCTAACCAATTTATTCTAACTAGGTACCACACAGTTTAAAGTTATGAAAAACCAAACCAACCAACCAAAAACCTGTTGATATGCAGCCAGACATTTTAATAAAACATCCGATTAGTCTAACACAAGTGTCACAGTCCGAGGGGATATGAAATGACATCATACTATGAATTACTAAATAATGGTTGTCTAGTCTGTCATGTGTGTGTATCGCAATATAAAAATTGGAATGAAATTTTCCTTGAACTAGACCTTTAAAGGTCAAAATGCCTCAGCATTTCCAATTTCCAATGGTTATTTTACCCACAAATATCTTTATTTATATCTTAAAGATTATCTAAAGTCACATTTCTTTGTCATAAACATTAAAAACATGCGTGCCCCGGACTAACCGGGGCTAACCATAAAAAAGTTTTTCCTTTAATTTATAAAAGTGAATGTTTATGTGACACTCTTTACATACATACATACATAACTTCACGCCTGTCTCCCATGGGGGTAGGCAGAGACTATTTTTATTAAGGGGGGAAAATCATCGAATAGCTTCTCCCGCTTAGGTGAGGTGGGAGGGAGTGTCACGACTCTTATAACTCATTAAGTTCTCCGCGGCAGGCAGAGACTATGGAACGCCAATTGCTACGATTCCTACATTCCTTATTCGCTTCATCAACAGTCGTCAATCTTTTCATGCATGTTCGTCGATTAAGGGTACTTTTAATTTGGTCCTACTTTAATATATCGCCAATCTGGTCAATATATGACACCTTTTTTTGTTGCAATTTCTTTGTTGTGGCATGTAGTTGACTTTTTTAAATTCTATTACAAAGGAAGGTATATAGTGAAATGTAATACCTAATATTAAAAGTATATACAGCAGGCATGGTGTACATTTGTCATTGTTTTCAGGGATAGTATGTGGTTTGTAGGTAAGAGTCTGACGCAAATCGTCTAGAGTCTAAACAAAGGGTGTAAATGAGGAATTCCATATGTTTAAAATAATGAAAAAACGCTATGTGTCCGATTAGGTACATTTTTTAATCACCAACACTTAAACTGTCAAACAGCAAGCGGTCACCGGTGACCGCAACCTATTGTTCTTTAATTGTGTCTATAAATAGGGTACTCGACGAGTGACACTAATATATATTAGAATAGGGAGGGGGTACCTATATTTATTTGATATCTCAGTTAGCATTATCTAATGAGTTATCTATCAAATATAAATAAACAGAAATCAATCTAATTTCATTGCTATCACTAGCAACCAAAGCATGCCAGAGATAACTTATATCAAACATTTTAAATAAGGAAAATGTAAACAGAATACTTATTATTGATTTTACTGAATTGGAATTCTGAATTGGTGTCATTGATATAGCTATACACAATCCATCTATAGTTCTATAGTCTATAGTTATATATATATAAAACTAGCTGTTGTCCGGAACTTCGTCCACATAGAATATGAGTTTTAGGAAATACCTGACCTATTTTCTTACAATTTTCCAAAATAAAAGGAGCCTATGTTACTCCTTAATATATAGGCACTAAAATTCCCGTCAAAATAGGTCTAGCCATTTCATAGATGTAGTGAATATCTTGTAGAAAAAAGTAGTTATTTCAATATTACAGACAGACACTCCAATACTATTTAACTCTTTGAGTACCGTCATTATAGACACAATTAAATAACAATAGGTTGCGATCACCGGTGACGGCTCGGTGTCTGACAGTTTAACTGTACAAATGCTTCCGTTACTGCATGACTGACTGATAGACAACAGACAGTAGAAATTACTGGACCTAGGAAGCTGTAACTTGGCATGTATATTCCGTAGGTTTATAGTGTACCGGAGCAGTAAGAGAAGATTTCCTTCCACAGGAATTACGTGTTTGTAGTATGATGTTGCTGGCAGAAGGTAATGTCACTAGTATTGACTACATGGATGTTGCAACAGGTCTGGCTGGGCAACTGACTACTGCATGTGGTATGGGATATAATTATAGCGAACAATTTTTTTTTTTTGTAAAACCGTTATGTATGTTTATACCTATGATAACACAGGTATACAACCCATGGAAAATCAGAATTAGAATATTTATTTGCATAAATTTGGTGATTCTATGGGTTTTTTTCTCAAACTGAACTTTGTTTGGTTTTGTGCAGGTGTGACATGCACAGAATAAGCATTTGTAAATGTACCCACAACTTCAAGTAAATCTTAGTGGGACCACAAATTAAAATATATTTTTTTCTTTAATGGATCTGATACAGTCATTATGTGTTTGTTATAAGTTCTTAAATCCAGAGAAACATGATCATCTGAGGCATTTACCTTTTTTATTGGCAAAGAAAAATGAATAAGGAATCATGTTTCAGCATTCTAGGATTCTAAGCAGATACTTAAAACTTCTAAATTCTGATTATAGAACAGATAACAACATTTCTACTTATTATTAACCACTACCCGCAGCAAAAATAAATTAACTACGTATGTGAAACGCACAAGCGTGCATAAAATGTACTCGGCAATTTGCTAGATAGCCGTAATAATACAAAATAAGCATTGTTTATGACGCAATAGCTGAAATCGTCCTTCGAACGAAAACCCCATGATTACAGATGTTGTTTACAAATATCCAACAGACTGTTACAAGTGAACGTGAGCAAAGGTCACGACGTACATTTACGGACAAAGAATAATAAACAATAAGAAAGCATTCAAGTAACTTACTTTACACTGTTCAGGTAAATCCTCCACGGAGCTTGATCGCGACATTTTAAGCACACAGGTCTCACAACGAACGAAAATACACTTCGAATTGAACAAAAATTACTTGATTTTTAGATTTACGCCATACTATGCAAGGATTTCCTGTTCAAAATAAATAAAAACACCCGAGAGCAATTCACAATTTTGAGCACATTATTGTTGCAATATAAAAAACTTGTTTACCAATTTGGTAGGTTACCATTTTACCGACAATGATAATAAGTCGATTATGGTTGATTTTCCGTTCAATCGATTATCAAGTAAGTAAAATAAACATTAGAAATCATAATTAATGAAATTGAAACATTATTCAGCTAAAAAATCTTATTTCATTTAGGTCTAGTCTAGGAGGATCAGCGAATGAATTTCCTTTGTCAACAGAAACTATTTTCATTTATGATCGGGCAACACTGTTTAAACATCAAAAATAATGCGTTCCGTTCCACACATCAAGTTCATACTCAGCTTTAGGTATACTATCTTATTTATGCCTACCCGTATTTTTTTATATAATATTAATATTATTATTTCTATCTATGTATGATTAATCCCTTAAAATAATAATTTTATCATTGATTAGGCCGCGCGATTAGCTTGCCAGAGGTCTAATCTCCTTCTAATTCGTAATCCTCAAATATAAAAATCCTATTTTTAAATAAACTGGGTATGTTCTATAAATTATGGGCGACATCGATTGCTTACCGTGATTCACCCATAATAATGGTGGATAATGATAACCCATAATACTGATTATAATCAGTTTGCTTATTTGCCGCCCTATAGGTAGCTACATACCAACGTGACCATTTTTGAATCAAAACGGGACATTCTTTTATTTTGATTTAGTCAGGTATCTGGTAGCTAGATCCTATTATAGAACCTGTCCTGTTAACACAAACTTTTTGCCCACAACAAAAGGTTAACATTACTAACTGTACAAATATGTAGGTAAGTACCTACTTAAAGTTTTTTCTAAGTACTGTACCTACCTAAGTACTTCGTTAAAAATTAGCGAGTTATGTATGATGCTGTATGTATAGACTATTCAAATTTTCGCTGGTTTCCGTAAACGGCATAATCTTGCGTCCCAGAATTCATTTCGGGGACAACGGGACTCGAAATTATAAAAAGGGACAGACCCGTTTAAAACGGAACGTCTACTACCTACCATAAAAAAAATCTACGTAGGTACAACTATGATGTCTTAATAAAAATAGGACTTCATTTTCAGGGCGTAGAAAGCTCTGCACAGTGATTTGTGGAAGGGGGGCAGGGGTAGGGAAGCCTTCTGTAGCGGGACGATCACGGCTGAAAATAAAATATCTATAAATGTATTCTCTTGCAAGGCTGCATCCGATAAGTTTAGCCCCTTATTAAACCTGCCTGTTGTTAGTTGTTCATCCAAGGCTTCAACCACGCTTCAACAGTCGTGGCGGGAAGAGCTCATGGTGGAATGGCAGTAACGACTGTCGCAACCAAGGGCTGGGCTCGCTGCCATCGCAGCAGTAAGTCGCCTCTTATTTATTTATTTATTTATTATTATCTTCTTCACAAAATACAGTGAATGCCGGACTTAATGCCTTAAGGCATTCTCTTACATTCAACCATAGGGAAGTGCAGAGAAATGAAGTGGTTGATGCGAAGCAAGAACACAATTGAAAAATAAAGTTATGTAATATGTATACTACACACATAAATTACCTATAGAATAACTATATAATAATACAATATTTTATAAATCTTTATAGACATATACATACCATATAATATATACTACTAAACAAATACTTTTACCTACTGCAAAATACTACAATATTATATAAAAAGGAAAACGTTTTCAGAATAGTTTCCTCAATTGTTTTGAGTCTGCCAATGCTTAAGTAAATGCTCACGGACTTTAAATTTAAAGGTATCGCGACTTGTTGCCATTCTGATCTCTTAGAGGAGTGGCTTGAGAGACGGGGTGGTTTTTAGTCAGTCTGACACTCCCTCCCGCCTCACCCAGGCGGGAGCAGTCATTCGATGATTTTCCCCCCTTAAAAAAAAAATAGGTGTTGAGGATGGCCAACAGGTGGTTTTAGTGAGGTGAAAATCCCATACTCCCTAGTGTTTCTCCCCATAAAGTTAGGTGCTTTTTAAAGGTGAGAAACCTTCAAAAGGCGTCATCACAAAAAAGGTACGTAGGTAATCTCCTACGTAAGTAAGAGCTAAATTAAAAGCTGACTTCAAACGACACGTTATTTTATTGTTAAAACGTCAAATCTCTTTTAATGCAATGCAATTAGTTAGTATTAAAAATATGTTTAAATAAAATACATAAGTACCTAGGTACATATTTTTTTATTTATTTTTTGTATAAATTACCTAAGTATTGTATTTTTGTATTTCATAAATAATATTTATGTATAATGAACTCAGATAAATAGGTGTATGTTAATCTAGAGTCTAGACAGTCTACCTACACTCAAAGAAAAGATACATATACAAATGTAGTTATGAAACCGTGACATTTCTCGGGGGCATGTCCACGGCATGTCACAGAAGTCATAAAGGTTCAATGTAAGAGAAAATTTCGGGCCAATAGTTAAAAATAAAAAAAAGCGACAGCAATGTTTCTTATTAGAGTTTTATGGAATTAAGAATAATATCAATTACATGTTTGAGTTTGTGTGTGTTGAGCCGCATTAAACGGCTAGTTAAAAGACGGCGGCATGTACTTCGTACTTATTGATTTCCGTAATTTCAGAAAAATGATAAATATTTACCCTACATTTTTTTATTGATTCGGTCTCAAAATCGATGTCCGAGTTACCTCCTTGAAAATAACGCGGCTTTAAAACAACACCTTGTATAAACTGTTTAAGTGTGTACGTTAGCTACTGCCCGCGACTTCTTTCGTGCAATCCTGTTTTTTCCCGTTACCGAATCGATTTAACCGTTCTTGAGTTATGAAAATAATTTAACTATCTAACATGACTTCCTTGTACTTAAAAGATTTGGTTAATATTATGAATTTCCAAGCTTTTATGGACGAAAATCATCGAATGACGTCTCCCACCTGGGTGAGGCGGGAAGGATTGTCACTCTTACTGACTACAAACCACCCCGTTCCTACTACTGCTCTTCGAGCCGGAGCCCCGGTAACCTTTTACGTTCTCCGCGGCTCCGTATCGGCATTAGCCCTATTGGGCCCCATCCGTGGTGGTCAGGGGGCTTACTCTTGAATCCAATTCCGATCGATCGACATCGGTATTGTGAAATTTCGTGTTCTTGAGTAGCACCTATTGCATCCGTATTGCGTGGATATTTAATGAACCAAATGGTATGCTTTAGGTTTGGTGGTTTATAGTTGGCTTTATATTCCCTACTCTGAATGCTATTTCAACAGCTACGATTGTGGTTGTATAGTGTTGACATTGAATAATTATAAAGATTTTATTGGATTGAAGTTGCATAGACATTGAGATTGGTTTCAAGAGTAAGCACCCTCATGGCTCTTTGAGGCGCGCACTGAGGGCCAAGCACGAATAACTATCGCATTCGTATCGTAACAGTGTCGAGCGCGTTAAGCATTCTGATTGGTTGTTTCACTTGAGCCGGCCAATCAGAGCGCCGAACGCGCTCGATACTATTACGTTACGAATGCGATAGTTATTCGTGCTTGGCACTCTTGGTCGCGATGCGCGCCGTTCGCTACGCTCGGTTGAATCGATCTACGACTAGATAGATGCTAGATATTTATGTTTGTCTTACCTATGCATTAATTAGTATAAATATAGATATTATCATGTATGTATTTATATTTATGTTATAGTGTTTAGTTATTCATTAATAAATACTAAATTAAGATATTAAGTAGACAACCTGTCATTTTAATGTTCATATTATGTTAATAATGATACTCGTAGTTATTGTTTCGTTTTTGTAGATGCATTTTTAGTTTAAAAGTATTGCGTAATAAATACTAAAAAGATTAGATAATTCTGCTAGATTATTTTTATTTTTTGGATTCTATTCCAATGCTTCAGAGTTCAGAATCAAATGTAGGTACCTACTTAGCTACCTAAATGGTTTCTTAAACACTTCCAACAGTCATAACAGTAGATAAGTTTTTAATCAAAACAGTCTAGAATTATCTCATGTGATGTTTTACCCGAACCTAATCCTATTCGGAATAATGACTCGTGGATCGAATGACTGCTCCCGCCTGGGTGAGGCGGGAGGGAGTGTCAGACTCTTACTGACTAAAAACCACCCCGTTCCTTCTCCTGCACGTCGAGCCGGGGCCCCGGTTACCCGTTAGGTTCTCCGCGACATGACTCGTGGATAGGGTTGCCAACTATAGGTACTTTATTTATAATAACGTACGGTAACGTACTTATGCTACTTTAATTCTTAATAATTAAGGCTGGTTTTACAGTCACGCGTTTCGGCAGCGCCGTCGGAGCGCGCGCGCTCGGATATGTATTGGGGTATTAGTAGCGTTTCAAATTCGCGCGCTTGAGCAGCGCCGTTCGTTGAACGCGTCCTATTCGCGCGGCGCGGTCGAAGCGCGCGCCGCTCGTGCGCTTCTACGGCCATTGTGCGTTTTAGTCTCACGCCGTTGAGACGTGCCGTTAGGTACTGTTGTGTACAAAATGAATCACATCGATACGGGTCGAGTAATTGACGAAGTGCGAATTATGGGGATGCGACGTATGCTGGATCTTCGTAAAGAAAACTCTAACTTGCACAGTAATTCGTCGAAACTGCTGGTTGATAGGCGAAAATATTTATAAAATTTATAACTATTTTCTCGTAAATCAGAGAAAGATGTTACGTGTTCGCCTCTCAGTAACCTTGTAGCGTTATAAGGATCAACACCTACTGTTCTTCGACGTTTTTGTTGCCTTTTTTTCCATAAAAAGTAAATAGCCAGTACTCTAACCGCATTGCCGTTCATTTTGTATCTGTTTGTACACGACTGTCTCACAGCAGCGAAACGCGCCGTACTAATGTCGTTTTAT